GGCGCACGAGCGGGGGACGCGATAACATCGTGGAGATTCAAGACTCCGGCCACGTCTTGAACGGGAGGGGGCGCTGTTAAGCGTCGTGTGTTATCGCGCTGGCCTGGCTAATAACTTCTGGGGCGGCCTGCTCTGCTCACGCACCGTCACGCACTCGGAGCGAGTGGATCACGGCGGCCGGCTTTTTATTTCATTATTATTTATTCTTTTGCCAGAGTGGGGGTGAGCTGAGGGACTTATTTCCTCTATACTTTCAGTAGCCGAAAGTAATTTATTCGGAAAAAACAACAACAACAACAATACTTTTAATAGGTGCATGAAGATGTTACACATATTTGAAATCATTTGAATGGCATCGCCTCTCTCTCCCCAGGAGAACCACTGCCTGCGGATCAAGCTGCTGGGGGACTGCTACTACTGCGTGTCCGGGCTGCCGGTGGCGCGCAGGGACCACGCGCACTGCTGCGTCGAGATGGGGCTGCACATGATCAGGGCCATTGCCGCCACCCGGAACCGCACCAAGGTCAGTAAAAATCACCGAGCGGCTACAACGAGCGTTGACCGGGAGATTCTCGTTCCTAAACGTCCCACTGCTAGGTTTGCCGGGCGTCTACGTCTACGCCTGCGAGAAGCTCTCCGCGCCGGGGCGCCCGCCAGACGCAGGGTAGGCAGCCCGCCGCGCACCGGGGCCGCCGGGTGGCCCGCCCTGCCACGTGGGCGCTCCCCGCCCTCTCCCCCAGATGCTCCTCGAGGCGCTCCCCGAGGTGCTCCCCGAGGCGCTCCCCGAGGTGCTCCCCGAGGCGCTCCCCGAGGCGCTCCCCGAGGCGCTCCCCGAGGCGCTCCCCGAAGCGCTCCCCGAGGCGCTCCCCGAGGCGCTCCCCGAGGTGCTCCCCGAGGCTCTCCCCGAAGCGCTCCCCGAGGTGCTCCCCGAGGCGCTCCCCGAGGCGCTCCCCGAGGCGCTCCCCGAGGCGCTCCCCGAGGTGCTTTCGCTCCCCGAGGTGCTTTTGCTCCCCGAGGTCCCAGCGGGCCGGGCGGTGGGTGATGAATGGCCGCGCCGGGTTGTTCTTCACCACCCATGATGGGTCGTCACCACCCGCCGGCCGGAGAGCATTGTCGCTCGCTCCCCCGGCAGACCTGCTGCAGCTCGTCATCACTCTCGCGACCACGTTGTGCCGCCCGGGCTCAACGCCGCCTCATAATTAATGAGCGCTGCCCGGCACACACCA